AAAAATATTTTTTACATAAAAATATTAGCAAAAGATAATTATTTATATAAAAATAAGAAAATTTCGCCCTTCTTTTTTTCATTTGGTATGAACTAACTATGAGCACATAATGGTATCATGCTATCGTCAATATATAAATCTTCAATATAATCGTCACAGCAACTTATATTCTCTAGCTACCACAAAAGTACTTTCAGGTCATAATTAAGGTAGTACCTACCGCACACTTTTGCCTGTTTGATAATCCTCTGTGATCATTGACTTATCTTCAATATAATCGTCATTTCACTTCCCACCATTTGTGATCATCAGGAGTCCAACAAACCATAATTAGCACGGAGTTTATAAGAGAAGCTGTTTTGGGATTGATTCTTTCAATTTTTTTAATGTATATTAAAGACGATAAAAAATTTTAATTAATAATAAAATTTATTTGAAAATTATAGTATCTCATATTATTAATATATTAAATTTTATAAAAAAAATTAGTAAAAAATATTACATATACAATTTTTATTGTGTATCCTTATGTATATATTAAAAAAAATTATTTTTTTTGCTTCATAAGTTGTTAAACCAAAAGTAACTTATGCTTTGGAGGTGGTTAAATATCCTTTTCTAATAGACAATCAATCAAGGAGTGTCCATATACATATTGTCCTTGAAAACTTCAATTATGGTCAAGAATGGTTTCAAGATTAGCTGAAATTGAGCATTTGAATCTCTCATATGAGTGCATGGCTATGTATGATAGTTGGCACGGTTCGTGTACTCTATAAATGGTTTTATGACATGGTTTAGGATGTTTATGGTCTACCTAAACATAATTTAACAGGAATCTACTGGTGGCTAAGTGCTGTTCTTTTTTTTTTTTTTTTTAATTTGATTTGGTATTTACTTTTTAACTAGTGCACGTGTTTATTTATTTATAGTATGCATGGTGTCATCAATAGATCAAGTATATAATAAAAAGTCTTGCTAATCATTGTCTTAAAGTACTGATTAAGGAATTAAAACAATAAATTTGTATTAAGATGTACGTTGGATTGATTAAAAAAACATAGGAGCAGATATACTTGTTATGTTTTCACATTCAAATTATCTATAAATGAAGTAGCATTTCACGTGTAGTGCATTGTATGAATATAAACAGAAATAAATAAAATTTAAAATTATATGTTTTGAATTAAATAATAAAGGTGTAGTTCACAATGTATTTAGACACCTCATTGACATTGCTGAGGGGTGAAGGAAATGGTGGAAGTTTGATATAGGTCAACTTTACAATTTACAGAAAGATAAGCGTTTATCAATTTATCAGGTTACCATTTTTAAAATCTCAACGCTTACTTATAACTTATGTTAAATCAATGGCTATGTTATATGATTCATCAGTGCACATGAATATTCCTTGAGCACCGCAAGAGTTGCCCCAAAAGTAAAGTGCAAGAAAATGTGTGGTTTAAAATAAAGAGAGCAAGAAATTAAATGGAAAAAAAGAGAGTAAAATATAAAACAGTAAATTGCATGAACGATATATAAAATAAAAATAATTCCAAATAAAGGCTGATGAAAAATCAAGGGGCTTTGGAAGATAAATTTGTAAGAAATATTAAAATGCAAGAAATGTAAGGAAATTTAAATTGCATCAATCATAAAGTAAATTATAAATACAAAAAAATAAAAACTAATGAAAATTGATCCAAATGACAAGCGTTTTGGTATTGCATATCCAAAATTTTGGATTCGAATCCAATACTCACAAAATATAACGAGTACAAAAATACAATATAAATATTCATTATTTACACTAATATAAATAATATATATAATTAAAATTTTAAATAAAATTTTTTTCTTAAAATAATTTACTGTATTTTATTTGACATTAAAAATGATTTTATTAATAATTTTGTATATTATTTAAAGTATTTTTAAAATATATTCTTTCTTTTTGTAATGATAATTATGCTTTATCAGTTCATAAAAAATATATTAAAAATGTATATTCTTTTTGTTAACGAATTACGAGGTAACAAGTACATGCATGAGGATTTAGTTAGCTAGCAGGCATGATATTGTGAATCAAAGTTATTTAACTTTTGAAACTAAGGTTTTATAAATTTATTTTTTTCACATAATGCCACGTTATATTATTTTTTTAGTGAAATATGTTTCTCTTTTCACTTCTAATAAGAGTGAAATATACTCTTTAAAGTAAGAGTACGTGAATTTATTGTTTTTTATGTTCTTTTATAAATGGTAAAAAAAATTAAAATATTATCTCTTAATATAGTTCTATTTAATATAATAAAATATTTATTAAATAGAAAAACTAATATGAATGAAAAACTAATTGATAAAGAGTCTTATACATTTATCCTTTAGATTACAAATTCTTAAAAAATATAATAAAAATAATATGAATTTAATTAAAAAGGATTGACAATGTACACGTTTATGATTATCATGTAATGATGATAATATCAGTAAAAATTATTTTTTAATATGCATGTAAAAGTTTTACTTCTCGTGTACTTTTACTGACTGAGATATTGTATAACTTTAAAAAGGAACAATGCATCAAAATCAAATTACATGTACAAAATTTTTTTAGAGTAATTTAAAAATTCTTATAAGTATATTCAATAAAATTTTATACAAAAGTAAAATTAATAATTATATCATGCATTACATTATTTTAACATATTATATGTTATTAAAACATGAATAAATATCAATTATAACATATTAACAAAAGGGTACTAAACGTTCATGTCATACTAATCCACGGAAGCTTTTTATTAAGAGTGAGAAAGATTGATTCCAAACGAATAAAAAATTAAAGTTTATCTAAAAATAGAAGGAAACACTAATTGCATTGAAATGAAATGATTTTTAAATTTCTAATTCAATCGTAAATATAAGTTAAAGTTATTTTAAAATGCAGCACCATCCCTTTTCTTAATAGTTTAGCATCAGCAGAATAAAATTTAAACAAGTTGAAATAAGTTTAAATAATTGCTGTAGAAAACGAAGTTAACGGTTTAGTTAAAATAATGTGAGTTGTGGTTGGGAAAAGGAGAAAGCAATAATGCAAAAATGGGTGGAAGCAGTCATAATTTGTCCATATATGTGATGTGATATGAGAAGTACTTTATTTTTGAAAGACATCTTTCTACAATAATTCATAAAAAGAATTGCATTTATTAGATGCATTTAAATACATATGTAGTTTTCATAGGAAAAGTTACGCAACATGCTTATCTTAATATATATAATATGAGTCTCTTACACATGGTTAAAAAGATATATAACAAGATTTAAAAATATTTATTATCACTTTTCATTTAAATTTTTTATTCAAATATTTTAAATTTAATTATACAAAATAATACTTTATATAAAAAATAAATATTATAAAATAATAATTTTTATAAAATACAAAATTAATTAATTCAATTATTACATCATATTATATTATCTTCATCATCATAATATGTATATCAAATTTTACATAATTTATGTATTTATAAATATGTTACTTAAATTTTAATAATATTTATATTTTAAAAATTTATAAAATTTAGTCTTACACTTGACGCATTATTTAATTTGGTTCTTCCATAAAAAAAAATGTTACAATTGTGCCGCTACATGAATAAATATTTTATATTAATTTTTGCCACTTAAATATGTGTTGAGATATTAAATAGAGGGACCAAACGTAAAATATGATCAAAATATTAATTTTTAGTAATAGAAATTAATTTATAAATAAAAATAACTTGTATTATAATTCAATTTTTCTTTAGAATATATTTATTTTTTACTAACAAAAAATTATTTCATTTACAATATTTTGTTAATTTGAGTTTTTAGTTTCTTAAAATTTTGTGATGTTTTTCATTAATATCTTATTTTTTAAAATAAATTTATTTTTTATTTCTATTTAGAGTATACATATTAATATTTTATAATTGATATTTATTTACAAATTAATTTTTATAATTTTATATTTTAATCTTTAAATATTTTTTTTATATTTTGATCCCTTTCATCAAATAAGTTAATAGATTTTAATGGTAAAAACTAATTCTAAAAATATTTACTAAGGACTAGATTATATTTCTTTTGTACAAAAATTAAATTGATTTTAAATATAAAATTAAATTTATAATTTAAGCTTTTAAAATATAATATTCTTTAAAATAGAGTAATATGATAAAGTATCCATTGACACACATGCACACATAATAAAATATGGTATTTATTAATTTATTATTTTATATCTCTAAATATACATTTATTTATTTATTTTATTATAATTATATAATCCTCATCATTTAATTACATTAACTTTACAATATTTAGCTTAATTTTTGGCTTTTTTCCCATTAAATAGAAATTAAATATAATTTAAAAGTTATTAAAATAAAATATCACTTTAATTAATACTTTTTTCTTAAAAAATATATTATATAATAAACTTATTTTAATATTATTTTCAAATATCTGACATTTGATAAATGTAAAATAGCATTTATAAGAGTTTGTGCAAGAGGAATGGGATGAGTTTATTTTTGTCCTCACGGGTTTCAAAATCTTGAGAATTTTTTTTCTAATACTCGAATTAAAACTCCATAATATATGTAACAAAATTAAATCAACTCAATTTATTAACAAAATATACTAATTTTAATATTATGTATAATTAAGCCATAAAAATATAAAATGAAGTAAAAGTGTTTTATAATAATATTTAAAATAAATAATAGCAATATATAAAAAATATATATAATAGCATAATATATAAATAATTATTTGTTAAACTTGTAAATATTATTATTAATACATAATTTTTTAAAAATATAAAATTTATATAAAAATAAATTCATCAAATCATATTGAGAAATTTAAAATATAACTTAAGTTTATTTAAAATATATCAAATTTAATTTTTAATATATAAATCTTTCAAACTTAAACCTGAGGTCACTGGAGTCTGTGGTAAGGGCTGCACCATACAACGATACACTCCAATTTTTATTTTTACTTTTTTCTGTTGAAAGATACTTGAAATTAAAGCATGGCGGCTAATAAAACGCTGAAGCACACGGAATCTGTTTCTCATCTCTATCCCATTACTCATTTGAGGCTCCTCTCTTGCAAATCTTTCTATTTTCTTCTCAATCACTTTCTTTCTTCTTTTCAATAGTAAAATTAACTGCAATCATTATTTTTCCTAATTTATTGTTTTGAATGATCAATTCAAATATATTGTGAAATTCACTTTGGTAAGTCTTTCATTTTCATTTCCTATTATTATTAATTTATTGTTATTGGTATCTCGTGTCATCATTGTTGATTATAATATTCTGATTGTTGTTAGTGCTCTGTTTGATGATTGCCAAAGAATCTTTCACAAAATTGAAAGGAAGAAACACTAAAAAATAGAGATCGTGTTTTCGTTTCTGAGCTGGAAACAACTGAACTCTGGTGTGACTATTCGATTCAATCTCAATTTTTTAACATTTTAAAAATTTTTTATTCGGTTTTTATTCGAATTATCTCTTTCTTTTTTGCTATGTTTAAATTTTTTTTAGTATGGGTGTTTTGGAACGTTTGTTCTGTCGTGTTTGTTTATTGATAGAAGTAATATGTTATTGAGGTGGGAATGTCGAAGTGGGGGTGCAAGATTCGTATGCTGTAAAGCTTAATTTTTAGTTGCCAGCAATTCAAAATTGTTGTAAAAATAGTAAGTAGCATTTTAATTTTAAGCCTTTGATGATGTGTTTGGGCCTTGAAATGGGGTAGCTTATCCATGGTTTTTAGCAATTTTGTAGAAAAAGAAAAAAGATCGCAAGTGTTGTGTTTTGCCTGATGAAAATATTTTTTTTCTGAACTGAACTTCTTATGGTGTTGAAGAGTTTGGTTTGGATATAATGAGTTATTTGTCCCTTCTTGATGTTAATTGATTTAGTGTGCTTTGATTGTTTAGCATAGCTTTCACTGTTGCTGGAAGAGATGGTTGCTTTTGGGAAAAAGTTGAAAGACAGACAAATTCAAGAATGGCAAGGGTAAGTGTGTATGTATGTATTTGCTCTTGCTTTGAGGGTTAGCAACTTCCTAGTTGATTGTTAGTCCCCTGTTAGTGTTGCTTTGGGTTCATAGGTTTGCTTTTTTCTTTTTTTTTTTTTTGTTATAGATATTACATAAACTACAAACTTATGAAGAAACGAGTCAGACAATATGCCCAGCAAATTCAACTTGGAACACAAGATCGGCGGCATGTACTCAAGGATTTCTCGCGAATGCTGGATAATCAGGTTTTACTGTTTTCTTTGTTGAATGCTTAATTATGTAATACTGGATGAAGGTTGAGCCCTTACTTTTAATTCTTAAATTAGACTGTGCTTATATGAATCAATGAAAGTGATTAATTCGAGTAGAATGACTCATCAAACAGTGTTTTTGCTTTTTGCAGTATGTTTGGAATCTTTTGAGTTTCACATTTGTTTCAATCACTTTCCTTTGGTTGCAATTCAGATTGAGAAGATTGTCCTTTTCCTGTTGGAGCAACAAGGGCTCTTGGCAAGCAGGATAGCAAAGCTTGGAGAGCAGCGTGATTCTCTTCAGGAGGAGCCTGAAATAAACAAAATAATTGAACTACGAGAAGCATATAGAGCAGTGGGACAAGATCTATTAAAGCTTCTCTTTTTTGTAGAGATCAATGCTGTTGGTTTGCGTAAGATATTGAAAAAGTTTGATAAACGCTTTGGCTATAGATTCACAGATTACTATGTCAAAACTCGTGCTAACCATCCTTATTCCCAGCTGCAACAAGTGTTCAAGCATGTGGTAATATGTTTAGTTCAAGCATGACCTTTACAGCAGAATTATATATAATTTTGAAGAATGTATATTGACCAATGAATATGGAATTTGCAGGGATTAGGAGCTGTTGTGGGAGCCTTATCTCGTAATCTCCATGATCTTCAGGACCGTCAAGGAAGCTACTTATCAATCTATGATCAGCCCTCTCTTCCTCTCCAGGTTCTTGCATTTACTTTGCTCCATCATTCACTTAATTTCGTTATGTTCTTTCTAAGTGTTCTCAGGTATGGTACTGGTTAGGGTGCAGCACAAGGTTGGTGGTGATTTTTCATCAAATATACTTGGTCTTATATGCAGGATCCGGTCGTTGATTCGATAAACGCAGCTGTTGATAGGTTAACCAACTCAACAAACTTCCTTAACTTTCTTGGGCAACATGCACTCATTATGCAGGAAGAGCTGCCTACTCCTACTGAAGAACATGTTGACAATCAAAGATACCATTTTATGTCACTTCTCCTGAACTTGGCAAACACCTTTTTGTATATGGTCAATACTTATATTATTGTCCCTACAGCAGATGATTACTCTATGAGCCTTGGGGCTGCACCAACAGTTTGTGGGATTGTGATTGGGGCAATGGCTGTCGCACAAGTGTTTTCATCTGTGTATTTTAGTGCATGGTCAAACAAATCATACTTCAGGCCTCTTGTATTCAGTAGTATAGTTCTTTTTCTTGGAAATGTCTTGTATGCCTTGGCATATGATGCTAAATCAATATGGATTCTCTTACTTGGTCGCCTTTTCTGTGGGTAAGCTATCTTCCTTTTTCTTTATCTTCCTCCTGTCATTACTTGATGAGCATAATTGATCATACTCTGTCTCACCTATTATCTTATCACAATTTTCAGTGGTTCAGAATAAGACACCTCATAAAATTGACTCCAAGGGAAAAGTTAATCCTAATTGAAATTAAAAAAGGACATAAAGTTGGTTTTAAAATAGGGATTAATATACCTTTGTTTTGATGGTACATTTATGCTTGACTTGAGTTGTATATTCACTGATTGTCATCACGGTAGGAGTTATGAGGTACTAGTTGCCTCAAGACTTTTTCTGGCTGACAAACACTTGATTATTATTGCAGATTCGGTTCTGCCAGAGCTGTTAACCGACGTTATATCAGTGATTGTGTGCCATTAAAAATCCGCATGCAAGCATCAGCAGGTTTTGTTAGTGCTAGTGCTCTTGGAATGGCTTGTGGTCCTGCATTAGCTGGCATACTGCAAACTAAATTTAAGATTTACAAGCTTACCTTCAATCAGAATACCTTGCCTGGGTGGGTTATGGCTGTAGCTTGGCTGATATATCTAATATGGTTGTGGATCACTTTTAAGGAACCTTCTCATGAAGTTGAAGAAAATCATGCACCGCATCAATCAAATGATGGTACTTTACTTATATTGCATCAACTCGTTGCTTATTGTTTAAATATTTTTTTAGTGTTCTTGTACAATTAGTCATCTAATTTCACTGTTGTGACAAATATTCAATATCCGTAGGAACTTTTTGATTCCTGAAGTTTTTGGCTTCTAGTTTCTAAAAATCATGAGTCCATTTTTCATCCTGGTTATTAGTTTATTTTGAGGATCTTAAATTTAAAAATAAATGAAAGTAGTCCATAATCATAGTATATCATATTGCTCATGAAACTTTTGATGAAGTGTTGACTGCATGGATCAAATGATGCCATTGTCATGTGCAGAGAAACCAAGTTTTAGAAAGGTCATTTATATCTTGGTCTTTTTTAATGGTTTATCATGGACTTTTCTTTGGTCTTCCTAAACCTCTATTTTTTGGGCTATTCTCTGTCTTATGGACTTTTCTTACCAGGTTGTCTGTTAGTTTTCTGATATCCTCACATGATCAAACCATCTGTTAGGTGCAACTCTGTTTCAATAGGTCCTACTTTAGCATGTTCTCTCTAATATATTTAATCCTGAATTACTTGAATGGTTAATTTGGTTGGGACTTAAAAAAATCATCAAGTATAGGTTTCTGTTTTTTAAAATGGTAGTTAACATGCCATTACTATGACTTGAATTGGCGACCTGTTCCTATCCAGTTCTTTAGAGTTTTATTTTTGAATTTCTATTAGAAACAGTTGTGAATGAATCAATGACCTCTCCTTGTCCTTGCTACTTTATATTACACTAGAGTATTTTTTGAGAACCTTAATAACCTGTTTCTGTTTTTATGTATAGTCTTTAGCTCAGTGGAGCTCTGTGAATTTTACCCTTATTTTGTTGAGTCTTAATTTATATTTGTTCTGAATTTTGACATGTTCCTTTTCAGTTCCAATATCTGTAATAGCAACTTGCTATGTATTTTGTTGTCCTTTGATATTCTACATGATACACATAAGAACTACTAAAAATGTCAAATTGAAGAAATCAGCCTTAAAATCTTAAGACTTTAAGCAATAATCTCTATATGATATCTCTTTGGAATACTAGCAAATTGGTAATTCTGCTTCCAAAATATTATACTGTACAAATCAATGGACAAACATAGGTAATAGTTCTAGCTATAACTGAGTCATGTATAAATGAGGGAGGTGCTTGTCTATCAATCCCTTCAATATTTATTAAAATCATTTATGGTTTCATTATTATTTTATATCATGTCGTAGTTGTGTGTATTTTCTTTTTATACGAGTTTTATTATTCTGTTGAGCCTCAGTACAAGTAATGGAAAATGACACCTTTTCCCTGTATAGAAGCAAACAGTGCACTTGAAAAAGGCCTAAAACAACCATTGCTAATTAGTTCAGAGGATGGGGTGGATGAAGATGCTGACCAAGATTATGATGATAGCGAAGAAGCTCTAGAGGAATCTCGCCAACCAGCCAATTCAATGGCATCAGCATACAGACTCCTTACCCCTTCCGTAAAGGTTTGTAAGCAACTCGCTGTCACCTCTAAGATATTGGATCTCTATCAATTAATATTGATTTCATTGGATGTGTTAAGTTTTAAGTCCTTTTTAAATGTTGAGATGGAAAACTGGTTTATTGATGTGGGAGTGACACATGTACGGTCCTGGATGAGTATGAAAGACTTGTTATTTGTAGAAATTATACATGAGAAATTAAGAGAACTGAACTGCTAATTGCGTTTTACCTATACTAGCTAGTTTCTGACAGCTCACAAACTTGTGAACTAGACTTGTATCTATAAGAGAGATAATCCTCTTTTCAAGTTTGGAATGTAATAATTTAAATTTATATAATAGTTAACATCATATATGACTACATTCCATAGGTACCTCGTGGCTAACACACAGTACATTTGGCTTTCATAAACTATTTTTACACTTGGATAATTTAAATTTGAAGGTTATATTAACTCTTAACTTTTCAAATTTGAAGAAAAACACTAGGTATGAATTTGGCTTTCAAAGTAGTTGATCTTTGAATAGGATCAAATGGCTTAAAAAGATAACCGGCATCTCCAGTTTTTACATTAGATCAAATATGAGCAAAACAAACTAGAGAGACATGTGGATGAGATGGTTTTGCGGAGGTTACTTGTCTCTTCAACATGCAGTAGAAATACATCCAACAGAGTTAATTACTACTGTTACTTTTTCTTTACATGATTTCCATTTGTTAACTGTTTGGGATGCATCATGGCTTTTTGCTGCATTGAACTATAAGTACATACTCAAAATAATTGCATATCTAAATCTATGATACTATAGTTTGTAGATACCTATGGCTTTATCATGTTTGACTTACCGCACGAAAGTGCTGCTACATTTGTAGAATGGGCACTTTCTTATGTCATGCAAAATTATTTGGACATCAAATATATCTTGAGACGATGAATGCCTTTTAATCAATGAGCTTATTGACTACCATTTTGGATAATTTAAGATTTCTTCTTATGATTAGAAAAAAAATATTGGGATAGTTAAAACATATTACCTGACCAAATTTGTCTAACATCTCCAGGTTCAGTTATTGATATATTTCATGCTCAAATATGCAATGGAGATTTTGCTATCGGAATCTAGTGTCATCACAACCTACTACTTCAACTGGTCAACAAGCACAGTTGCAGTTTTTCTTGCTTGCCTTGGCTTGACAGTTCTTCCTGTAAACATTGTTGTTGGAAGCTATATAAGCAACTTGTTTGAGGACAGGTAATGTCTAGTTAAACTCATCCTTCATTAGATTGTCATCCATCTCTGGTTGGATTTTTGCTGAAAGATGTATATTTACATATAATCATGTTGATACTTAATAAAAATGAGAAGAAAAAAAGTCTAGAGATTTGGATCCTCACTTTGTCTCTTACGAGATCCTTTTTAGGCCTTAAATTGTTGAAAAATTGAAATATTTTGCATATGCGTCTGGGAGATTTACATTAATTTTTTAATCTGTTTTAGGCAAATTCTGTTGGCATCAGAAATTATGGTTTTACTAGGCGTTCTACTGAGTTTCCATATAATCATTCCCTATTCTGAGCCACAATACATCTTTTCGGGTCTCCTTTTATTTGTTTCTGCAGAAGTACTCGAAGGTAAGATCTTATTTTGCTTTACTATACTACTATTTATGATTATAGACAGTGTTTAAGCTTAATCTATTTCTAAAAAGATATCAAAGCCTCTCTGTCTAGGGTACGTGTATTCTGTATAAAACTTGGACAATCCTTTTCTCTTGTACAAGATTTTGGATTAAGTTAGCCCACTACGTTTCATCCCATTTAGTGAAATTACAAAATTTCTGTATCAAAACTGATATTGATAAAACATTTCTAACTTTAGCATCTGGAACAGTATTATAGAGGCAATAAGAGCATGCGGTTATTTTTCACTCATCTTTATTCTGTTAAATTCCTGAATCTCTTTGATGTTGTACAATTATAATTATCTAATATGTTTTTTAAGTATGTATTTTGTACACTAGACTGTCCTATATTTTCTGTTTCACTTTTTTTTATTACCTTTGGGCCATACACCACATCTGTTAATGGGTTCCCACCTTTCTGTTTTAAAAACTAAATGACAAGACATTTCATGGAGGAACATGAAATGAGTTTAGGCTTTGGACGGCTCAATATTTGTCCATTATATCGTTTCATGAGAGTACATAATCTCAACTGTATAACAGGTGATTAGATGGTCATTTAGACCTGAACTACATAAACATTGCCATTATTGATGCAAGTTTGATAAGGACAGTTCTTATTCCTTGCATACACAGGCATCAAAAGAATTTTGGTGGTGGTTATTGATGTAGTTTGTTTTTATCTTTTTTTTTTTTTCCTCAGTCCTGACCAGATTGTAATTGATTTGAATGCCCTTTTGACTATCATTCCAGGTGTCAACTTGTCGCTGCTGTCGCGAGTAATGTCATCAAGGCTTTCGCGTGGAACCTATAATGGTGGTCTACTTTCGACTGAGGCTGGCACAGTTGCTAGAGTGGTTGCTGATGCAACTATTACCCTGGCTGGATTTGTTGGTGAGAGTAGGCTCCTTAATGTGACCCTGCTTCCTTCACTCTTAATCTGCATATCCTCCATCATAGCAACTTGCTGTACCTACAATTCTTTATATTAAAATGGGAGGAGGCGAATATGCTCTTCAACAAGACCTCAGTCTCCTTACCAATTGGCTCTGCATTCTTTCTACATTCAATATTTTTGATCAATCAAGTCTTCAACGGCTCCAAAAAGTTGGAAAAGTAGCTAGGTTTATCACGGTAGGATGTCCAAATGTGAATTCTTAGTGGAATGGATTCATCAATTATCATTTCTTTTTGCTGTAAAGATTGTCTACTAATAACAAAATGAAATGTCTTTGGCAAAAGGATAGAACTTAAGCACAGTACCAAAGGTGTTTCTGGTATCTTTTTTTAATTAAAATTGGAGTTTTGCATTAATATTAAGTACCAATCTTTAATACTTGGATTACTAATGTAAATGTCTACTTTTAGTTGAAGAACAGCGTTAAAAACTCTTATGATATTGTATTTAAATATCGCTCTTTATATAAACTCTACTAAAAGCAGAGACGTAACTAATTTGAATTATTTGAAGTCTGTTTATGAAATATATAATCAGGTTAATTTACTAGAACAAATCAACTGAAATTTGGATTTTAGATTTGATTATATAAATGGTTCAAGTTCAATCTTAAAAGAGTTGGTGTTAAAAATTTATTAATTTCTTGTGGAATTTTATATATTTAATCACTGACAAAATTTTAATTCTAAAAGAAAATGTAGATAGTAATATATATTGTACTATTACAACTATGTTATTTATAAAATTGTGATGCAGTTGAGTCATATTATTAGGTGACATGAGTAGATCATCCGTTTAACTGAGATGTGAGAAATGTAGGCAGGAAAGCCGAAATATCTTTTATATGGATAATGTAAGTTAACGTAATGCCGTTCAGAAGAAACTCCCTCTCAAAGAACATACAAGAGAAGGGTCAAATATAAACAAGTTTTACTGTATGTAATTATATTAATCGATAAATTATAAGACTATATAAGAAGATGGTCCACGAATGTTTTACAAATTTTAAATCTTATCTATTTTTCAAAATAAAACAAAATAGATATATGCACATGATCTTGGCTTGTCCAAGCTGAAAAGACAAAAACCAAAGAAAGAAAGCACACGTGGTTGTCGTATTCAGCTGTGTATGAATACTAATTTCTTTTATGTTTTAATTACATAAGAAGTGATAAATGTTTTTATGTGACGTTTTTAATAGTTGTAATTTGTTTTTTTTTACTTTTTAAAATTCTATTTTAAATTCTTAATACTTTTTATTTTTTTCTACATTTATAATTTTAATTTAACTAATCATTCTTATTTATTTTTCTTAACATTAATTCTCAAAGACTCTTAAATTTTCAATGAAGAATAAATAAAACAAAATTTTTAACTTGTATCTAGGGACACACATACACAATAAAAATATATATATAGTAATTTTTATTAAAAATAATAAAATATTACAAAATTTAAGCAACGGTAACATTAAATATTATAATTTTTAATAAAATTTATGATTTTTTAAATTCTTAACGAGTGTAATTGAACATATATTAGAACAATCATAACTAAAATAATTAAAAGCATAAATAGAAATATATTACATGCAAAATTGATGAAAACCTGTTACGTAAAAAACTTTAAACTATAAAATATAAACAAAATGAAGAAAGTATAAAAATAGGATAAAAATTGCAAGGGAATATTCTACATTGACTCTTATTTCTCATTTTAACGTGTAAATAAAATTTACCTATTTAATTTAATTAAAAATTAATCAATTGTTGAAAATTAAAAAAAGAACGCATAATTTTTTCACATTCTCTATTTATTCCTTTTTTAATTTGGTGATCACAACCATACCTACAAAATTTTGAGATGTTTAAATACATTCATTACAGACTTGGTGTGTGTATCAGATTCTTTTCATTTCATTAATGATATATTTTATTGACATGATATTTTGTTTTTATTGTAGTCAAGGAAATAATTTCATGGAAATCCATTCTAATTTTTTAAAATTTAGATTTAGATTTAATAATTTTATTTTAACCCCTTTTTTATTTTGTATTTTTTTTTCATATTTTGACTTTTTTTCGCTAAAAACGATAAAAGGTGATAGAGAAGTAAAATTCTATGAAAATCTTTACTGCGTTACTATAATTAATGGCGTAACTCCCAATTTTGTAATTAAAAAATCTAAATGAAAATAAGTTATTCATTTATTTGAGTGTTTTATAAAAAAATTATAAATAAAAGTTAAGCATTTTTTTTTTTGGTTGAAAAGTATTATAACTGTCCAGAAGAATTTGAGAGGAGTACGTAAAGCAATAATAATAATAATAATAATAATAATAATTTTATATTATTATTTTTTTTATAGGCAAAATAAATATTATTAGAGAGAGTTCAAAGGGAACTCAAAACCCATATACACAGAAAAAAATTACTTACTTAGAGAAATAAAAAGCAAAAATATACTTATACAAAGCTAAAACAGATGCAATTTTGTAGATGCAAATACCACTTAGCTAACAAAATAGCTTCTTCCTTATTAATAAGTGATAGTCATTTTTAAGACCTCATAATAATAGAATCTAGGACTTCTCTCTCATCTAAAATACCATTAGAAAATACAATTTTATTTCTATTATTATTATTATCGATTTTTAAATACATGCATTTCACGTTGATTTTTCTTGCAATATTAAATAAAATTTATATCTCATCTAACATGATCACATTCAACAATCCCATACAAAATTGTATTAAATTATTTTGCTTTGTATAGAATAGACAAATAATCAAGAGTTCTTATATATAATTAACCTTGTACATTGATTAAAACTATCTGCAGGGAGGAGAGTTTCAAAACTTATTATTTAATCTATTTTACCATCATTTCTTTTTTAGCTTTTAACATTACTGTAGTTTCTAAAAATGAATTTAGTTTCAATTCATTAATTTTATAAAAATAGTTTTTGAGATTATTATATAATTTGAAATTGTTAAAAATAACATTTAAAAAAAAAACATGTCATATAATATTATGAAATATAAATTTACATTTGTTAATTTTTTTTATTAATGATCACAATAGGTATAATTTTTTATATTAATTATAACAAAAGTAAAATGTTTTTACTTATAATTATAATTAAATGACAATATAAAATAATTATTATAAATATTAGTTAAAATTATAATATATTAATAAAAATAAAAAATGTAATTTATTATTATTTTTATAAAAGGAAAAATAAATTTAACTACATTAAAATTTAGTTCCACGGATCAGGAATTATGGATCTATTATGGATCTCCGTCATTATCAATAACATGATGACCTAATAATTGTGTATCTTCGTTACTCTCAGTCTTTCTTTTCTGAACTTCAATGGCTTTCTTAGCTGATCACTCATCTTCTTCTCTATCTTTATTTTTCATATTGTTAGAAGCTTGGATGATATATAATTTGGCAAGGCTTGTCGATTATGTAGTTGCCACCAAGATTAATTGCATATTATAAACTAAGTCAATCATAATGTCTTGTCAACATTTTTTTAGTCCGATCCATTGATGGCCAAATTAGTATGACTATTTTTCATTTTATATTTTAATATTTGAAGTAAATTAATGATAAATAAATTATATTTAATTTTTTTAGAGTAAATCATGTTTAATTCATTTTAGAGTAAATTAAATTTTCTTTCTTCGAGTAATGTTTTAATTATACTCTCCTTTTATCTTAATTTAAAATATACACTTAAATATATTTATATTTAAGTTCAACTTAACGTAAATATTTTAAAATATATATATTTCATGATAATCGTAAACATTATTAACACTTAATTTTAAATATTTACTATAATTTTGTGACCTTAGAATATGGAATAAATAATTTAGATAAATTTTAAAGTTAACAATAAGTATATTTAAATTTCATTTTATCTCTTAAAAGCTAAAATATAAATATGATCCTAATTAGATATAAGTGAAGTTAAAAAATGAAAAGAAAAAAAAAAGAGGATAATATTTAGGAACTTACTCATAATCATTCATTACACTTAAAAAATCATTTATATAGAAAGACAAAAATATATTCATCTTTATTATCAAATAATTAGAAGTGTATAATTTATAATAAAAAGAGAGGAACATGTAATTTAAGAATTTTAAACAAACATTTGTAATTTACACCTACTTTTACGTGTATATTAAGTATTATGCAATCATATATATTTGACTATAAAATGCTGCTTACTTTTATTCTTGTCGTTGAATTCTTGGAAATTTACTAAAGCGAAGTGTTTTTTACATTTCAAATTTCTTGAGGGTAAGTTTTAAATTTTATCCTTGTCTTCTACACTTATTTTGTCTGGAGTAAAAGTATATTTAAAAAAAGTGGAGAAATGAGACTATTTTGTTTTGTTTTTTCCTATAAAAGTAGGTACAAATTTAAATGAAATTAAAAATATTATCAATTGCTTAATAATTAGTGTTGCAATTAGTTCCAATGATTCCCCAACATTTCAAATTGTAAGATAGATCTCCACCCAATTTCCGGATGCATTTTTCAAATAAAACCTTCTTCTAGATACATTCTGGAACTGCATAAAAGAAAGAAGACACCTCAAACCTTTGAAAATAGCATTAATGATGACATGTGCAATGACGCGGTGAAACCATTCACTCTTCCTTTCAGCATAAGGGTAATTATACTTCAATATTTAGTTAATGATATAATTAAAGATAAAAAAATGTTAAAAAAAGCAAGGATAATATAAAAATTGTTAACAATTGTTTAAAAAATAAAAAATATAATTAATGATGTGATATAAAAAGAATAAAAAAAAAGTATAAGAAAGTAAGGGGGAAAAATTATAAGAATTGTAAACACAACTGTTAAGGCAAGTTTTCTATACTTTTTCATACTTGTCAAATATGTCAACCAATGTAAACCAAGGGATACCCAACACATTTTTTTGTTAATTTCTACGCTTTCTTTATTCTTTTACACAATCAAAGTTTGGGTTCACCAATGACCATTTAGTTGTCATATCCCTTTCTCTAAGTCAAACATAAAAAAAATAAAGCATTCCCTTTCTTCCACAACATTTAAATCCTAAAGAAACCATCAAAACTCCCATAACCTCTTCTTCATACAATTAAAACCCAAACCCTATACCACTGTTTCATTCCTCTCCAAAATCACAAAAATGAAAAACACCATAATTCTATACCCTACCAATGGTTGGGGACACTTAGTCCCAATGGTAGAACTAGGCAAGTTCATCACCACCCACCACCATACAACCCTCTCAATCAAAATCCTCCTCCCTTCACCACCTAACACCGCCACCCTCCAATACATCGCTGCCGTCTCCGCCACCGCGCCGTCCATGACATTCCACCACCTTTCACCCTCCCAACACTTACTCTACGCCCTCCAATCCCTCATTTCACAATCATCCAAACCCAAAGCCTTCATCTTAGACTTCTTCAACCACTCCGCTACTGACGTCACGAAATTGCTCAACATCCCCACATACTTTTACTTCCCCAACGCCGCAAGTTGCGTTGCAGTTTTTCTCTACACGCCAACCCTTCACCACAACACCAAGAACGGATACACTCATTCCAATTACAATGACATGCTACGCCACATTCCCGGTTTGCCGCCGTTGTCGCCGGAGGACATGCCGGAGCCTCTCCTCGATCGCCGGAGCCGGAGCTACGAGTCATTTGTCAACATGTCAATGAAAATGAGGAAAGCTAACGGAATTATAGTTAACACGTTTAGTAAGCTTGAGAATAAAGCTTTATTGACGTTGGAGAATGGAGGTTGTGTGTTGGAAAGACATGATCCACGTGTTTTTTGTGTTGGGCCATTGGTTTCCAACGTTGGATTTGCAAACAACGATGATGGTGGTTGCTTAAGTTGGCTCGACTCACAACCGAGTGGAGCCGTTGTGTTTTTAAGTTTTGGAAGTTATGGAAGGTTCTCGAAGGTTCAGTTAAGGGAAATAGCGGTTGCGTTGGAGAGGAGTGGACGAAGGTTTTTGTGGGTTGTGAGGGACCCAATTGGGTATGAGAGAAGAGAATTGAGTTTAGAGGAATTGTTGCCAAAAGGGTTTTTGGAGAGAACAAAGGAGAGGGGAATGGTGGTGAAGAATTGGGCACCACAGGTTAAGGTACTGAGTCATAACTCGGTGGGTGGGTTTGTGACTCATTGTGGGTGGAACTCGGTGATGGAAGCAGTTTCTTGGGGAGTGCCGATGGTGGCGTGGCCTTTGTATGCGGAGCAAAGGTTGAATAAGGTGGTTATGGTGGAAGAGATGAAGGTGGCTTTGCCTTTGAAAGAGAACGAGGATGGGTTTGTTAGGGCAGCTGAGTTGGAGGGCCGAGTTAGAGAGCTTATGGACTCGGAGAAAGGGAGAGGGAAAGAGATCAGAGAAAGAGTATTGGGTGCGAGAAATGACGCTGTTGCTGCCCTCGGTCACAGTGGATCTTCACGGGTTGCTTTGGATGAGTTGGTTGAGTTGTGGACACAATGAGACTGAGTCAAAAGAGTGTTTTTTTTTTTTTGTAATTTATATATTATTTTCTTGTAATTTATTTTGGTCAACTCTGTGTTTTCATAATTGGTATACTTCACATCAAATATCATTGTTTTTCCTGCGAGAATTACTAAAATATATTATATTACAGCTTCTATAACTTTAAACAAGTAGTAGGAAACCATGGATCTCTTCCTCAAGAGACATTGCTTGCAATTGTGTCTACAAAAATGCTAGACAGTAGGCATTGTTATCTTTATTATTTATTAATATTGGAAACTAGCATAGGTTATTATAAGTCGAAAGTGACAGTGTGACTCATAACTCATAAAACAAAGTCATATTCTTCATGTTTGTTTATTTTTGTACTAGCACATATAAGTTGTATTATGTATATATATCTTTTAGAAACTACCGTAAGTTATTCAGTATTTTCTTTAATCGATATATACAAGTTAGAGATAAGATTGAGTTTATTTGTAAAAATAAAAATAAAAATATTTATATTAGATTAATTTAAAATATATGATGATACTAATTCATAAAGATTTAAAGTGAATAATCTCTTATTATTTTATTTTACAAATAAACTCATTTTAAAGATTTTTTTTTCAAAAGTTAGATACCGCATTTATGTCATTAGAAAAATAGAAGTATCACTTCACAAATATGACCAAGTTTTTTTTAAAAAAATATCATTAAAAAAAGTCCTACTTTTTATTTTAATTTTAATATTAACAGGAGGCTTATGAGCTGCTATAACGGTACGAGTGTTGCTTTTTTCTGATTGTAACTTTGAATCTTCTCCAGTTCTAATTTTACTGATCTATATTGGTTAATTTTTTTTACGTGATTGTTGGTTAATAATTAATTCTATTTCCATTAGATATTTTGAATACCTTAGTCAACATCCTTATTTTATATTTTTAATTTCTAAAAGATAAAGAATAAAATATGTTCCTTTTTCTTTTTTTCCAAAAACTGGCTTCAGTTAAAATAGGGTGTCTACAAATTTGTTTTGGTGGAAGTGTCTACAAAATTTATCTATAAGTAATCACTACCATGCTTCAACGAAAAACCCTCTTCCATAGATCGAGGCCCAATTGTCGTGCCACCTTGCTCGTAATGCATTATTATATGGTGGGATTACTTTTTGCATCCATTTTTTTTACACCTCAATTAATAATTTTTGTAAATTATTATTCTTAAAGTATTTTTCATGAAAAAAACACTTCTAAAATAATATAATAGTAATCTTTGCTTTTGATCATACATCAATAAAAATTTATTGATCTTTTATTAATAACGCTCAACAATTATCGCATTATATTAATTTTTTCTATCAAATTTCAATTAAAGCCATTGTAAACGCAAAATAGTCACTTTTTTTGTCCCTTTTTATTTTTTAGATTTATTTATTATTTTTAAAATATATTTTTTAAATATATTTTTGTTTGATTTATTTTATGAGTCGTATACAATAAAATTTATTTATATTAATTAAATTTTATCTTTATGAGAGATAAAAGTATAAGATTGCATTATATATCATCATCTAATAAGTTTTTATCTATATAAAATTAACAGAATTACGCTATTTGCATGTTTAACTAAATTTACAAAATTAGTTTTAAAAAAAATCTAATATTTAGTTAAAATTTATTTAAAAATAAAAATATTTAATTTAAAAATACAAAAGAATAAAGTTTACATAATTTTTAATTAACTTAATTAATAACTCCAAATATATTAAAATGTATATTAAAAAAATATAATGTTAAGATTTTGCTACTCATTTTAGATATTTATAAATAAAAAAATTTACAAAAAAATATGTATTTATTATATAAAAATTATTAAATTATAATGAATATTTATTTTTAATTTAATAACACTTGTATAATATAAAAAATAACAAATCTCAAATACAGTTGTTTTAATATGATTTATTGATTAAAAATTACTTTTTATAAATATAAAATTTTAATTAATAAAACACGCTAACAAAATTATAAATCTAAGCACTATTGTCGTTTTAAACTGAGTTACGAATATTTTTCTTTATTTGAAGTAGTTTCGTAAGTTGAGGCAGAGAAAATTTTATACTTTTTTATAATAAATCTCTTTTAATGCATAAGACTGTGTTTTTAGGCCTTCAAGTCTTAGCTTTCCACGCTTCCACAAACACCCATTACACTGTCACAAAAATAGAAAATAAATAAGAGTGTTGTAATCTAATGGATGCAAACATAGCATAGCATGGCACATACCTTGCTGTAAAGTTTGAAAAGGGTACGCAAAACTGCAACTTTTGGTTCAGATAGTTTCGATTCCTTCCACAGAGTGCATAGAGTAGAATATTTACAAATGAGTTCTGGAAATAAACTTCTGTAAAAATAAAAAATAAAAAAAATGTGAAAGTTTACTTTAAATATGAAAAGGATATTTTAAGAAATAAAGTTAAAAAATTAGATAGGTAATGTATTAAGTAAAAAATAAAAAGGTGAAAAAGAACTTGTTTCAAGGAGAACAACTTGTTGTTTTCTTGCTTATTTCATGACGGTGGCAATTCCGAAAATCAAATGATACATGATTTTTATTTTTTTTAAGGTTTTCTTAACTTTAGATTAAAGTATTGGTAAATAATTTTGTATAAATATGTATATATATATATATATATATATATATTATAAAATTATAAAAATAAAATATTTTTTTTAAAATAAAATTTTATTATTATTAATTATTTATCCTCAAACTTAAGAGACATGTTAACAAAAATAAAATTATTGCTAAAGTTTGTGATTGCTTTAATTTTTGTTGATGTTCATGAGGTAATTAATTATTGATATCTTAAAAGTCATGCATCGAAAGTGTATTTTTTTTTAATTTTTAGTTATTAAGTTTTTTATTATTTAGTAACTTATATGCAATTTTTTTATCCTCAACAATTTTTTAATTATTTAATACTTCTTTTAATAAAAGAATTTCTTCTTTAACATAATTTAGGCTTTTTTACATAAATAATGTTATTTTAAAAATTATTTATCTAAACAATGAATGATGTTAGAAAATTAATTACCAATCTAAGTTAATTAAATAATAATTTTTTTGTGTTCAAGCAAAAAAAATAGAGACGTTACATGCTATAAAATGTGATATATGATATGTTTTGGATACGTGAAAGTAACTGTGTTAGTTTATGAATACGATCAGGCATAGGAGACACTCGTCCTCTGAATTTTCAAGGACCGTCATGATGCATCAGATATCATGCGACGTGCAGTGCTCTTCCAGTCACTGGATCCTATTTTTGGCTGAGCCATTTTCAAGGTGGACAGATTGTTAAACAAAAAAGAATCCGCCAACGTCTCTGAACTGTGTTAATTTATTTCAGCAAAAAAAATTGTGTGTTAATTTATATATTTATTATTGTTAAAATTAAATATAGTTTATATTTTATATTTTATTTTTATACTTTAATGAATTGATTTATGTTTTGGTTGTACCTGTATTGTTTTTATTAAAAATGAGTACAATTATTATTGTAGAATAATGGTAGAATATTTAAAAGAAGTAAAAGATAATATGTTTGAAAGAAATGAAAAGTTAATTCAAGTAATGAAGCATTAGTATATGCTGTCAAAGATTTGGTAAACAATATGAATACACTAGCAAGTATCCTATTATTATAAGATTATTATTTTTTTATTTGCAAGTGTTGTACTTTTTTAACTACATGTCGATGATTTTGATTCCAATGATGATTTTGAATTTCTATCAAACAACGTGCATATAACAAGTTTTTCACCAAATTAGTATAAGTTTTAAAAATATTTATTATTTTAAAAAATTAACTTTAATTCTTGAGACTAAAAATAAGTAATTAAGAGTAGTAACTTTTTAGCTAAAACATATTTTTAATATTAATATTTTAATATATTTATTGTTTTAGTTTTTTAATTTTTTTAATTCTTAAATTTTTATTTTTAAATTTTAACATTGATGTAATGAAACTATAGTTATTTTAATGAAATTAAAAAATAAATTATTATGATAAGACAATTTATGAGTAAACTTATCATATCAAACAGAGGTAATTAAAAGGCGTCAAACACTAAATGTGGTGCCTATCTCTTGGCTCTACACATCAAAACGCGTCATGCGTCGCGTTCTCGGTCTGAAGCTAATTAAATATACGCCACACACTAAAATTTTGAAAAGTAGTGGCTCTTGTTTTTGTTTAGCACAAAAATTTTACTGCTGAATTAACCTAGAATGATAATTAATTTTAAACAACATTATTTAGATATAACAAGCCTATAAACGTAGTATTTTAAAATCAATTTTTAGTTCAAAATATTCAAGCATGAAAACTGAGGTGTTTTGTATTGATTTTCTAACAAATAATAATTGTGCCTAACCACATGCTTCTACTAATATAGAACCAAAATGACAGCACAATTATATATTGATCCTTGTGAACCCATACTTCAATTCATGATGAAAACAAAATGCCAAAGTGTACCTGAATTTGTCATTAGGAATGATAAAGGTGATGAGATTAATATTGAGTATGTGATCTTCTAAATGTAAAGTGCCTTAGGTTCCCTTTTCAAGTTTATCTTCTGATAGGGATGAAGAGAAAATAACAAAATTAGTTCTTAATTTATATGTTCTATAACTTCCTCTATAAATAGGGACCATAGCCTATTATGTAACATTTGTCAGTTACATTTCGAATTTAATATTTCTAATTTGGCCCTCATCAAATTAAAATATTACTTAGAATATTTACACTAACTTTTCATGACAATTATGCCTTTAGCTATAAACTCAATATTAACATATCACTTTATAATTTTGGCTGATCAGATAATGGCCCTAACACATTTAAATAATATATATGTGACCCAAAAATACTAACAATCTCCCTCTGGTCACATATGTATCCTTACAAATGTGTCAGACTTTATGAACTCAAAATTTGCCATTGT